AGATACGAATATAGCAAATGTCGAGAGACGCGTTGTTCGGAGTAGGTGTGCGACAATAGGACATCCTTCATAGCCGGCCAGACTGCAAGGTCACGGCTTTAACCGGCGCTCGGAGATGAAGGGTAGCGAGTCAGTCTGGAGAGACTAATGGGTTTTGTTTCAGGGAGGATTAACGCGATACAGATTGAGCTCCACAAACTGGAAACATGAGAATGTCGATTCTGAATTTGCAGGTCGTTAGACTCGGGCAGGTGTGTACATATGACAGAATTAGGAGTAGAACGACCCGTTATTCGCTTAGACGAACGCGGATGTGGAGCGGTAGCAAGCTTACTTGCTAGGAGGGTCCCCGACGGAAGCGTTGGGCGTCGGCGAGTGTTGGACAGAATAGCAGTTGGTAACGGTGAGGAACTATACAGTGATTTCAGGACGTTTGAGAAGTTGCTGTCGGCGTTTGGCTAGGCTGTCGAACCTTTCCGCAGTAGCGCTCTGTTAAGCCTAATCACCATTCCCTAAATGACTCAAAAAGTCAATCAATTCACTCTGTCAACCTTACCCGCTGTTCCATGGAAAAGTTTATCCCAAAGCTACTTAGGACAATTATTCGTACGACATTCTTTCGCCTGATCTTCGATCATCCGGGGTCGCAAGTTTCTGGATCTTTTCTATACACGTAGGCGTCCACTACGGAGCCCAGGGCCTGAACACGCATATTCAAGTTTCAATTGGGGACCGGAACAGTAGGAAAATCCCGCGAATGTTCCACCTTCGAAAACGTCGTTGATCCAACAGGGAAACCGGTGCCTTGATGTGCCAAAGGAGAGCCAAATCAACACACACGATTCATATGGTCAACCAAACAATGCCCACGTGCCCTGCACTAGCAGTCCCCGCTGTGCCGGCCACGTGAAGAATAAAAGAAAACAGTAGTGTCAGTAAGAAAAGAAAACAGAGGAGAAGACAAGCTAATCGAATATCGTAGGCAATATTAAAATGTAAGTTAAAATGAGTTAAAGAAGCGTAAGCCGTAATAGACGAAGAAAAGTTTAAGACACGAAGGGGAAGACTTTAAACTGCAGACCGAGAGCGTCAAGTCGATGCTCGAACTCTTTCAACGTCGGTGCCATCACGACGTCTGCAGGCAATGTGTTCCAATAAGCTATAACCCTACGCGATAATCTAAAAGTTGCCAAAACCCGGTCAGACCGGGGTTTGTGCAACTTTAATGGGTGGCCACGAAGGGTTGGCATTCGAGTTGGGCGAAACAGTCCAGTCAAATCAGGACCAATCTGACCCATCAATATACGATATGTAAGGACCAAGTCGCCCCGAAGCCGCCTGTAATACATGGAAAACATATCCAACTTACGTAGCCTCTCCGGGTACGTCAGCTTCTTTAAGTCGTACACCATTTTCGTCCCGGACCGCAGGACTCGTTCAACTGCCATCTTATCACGAACCAGGCATGGAGGACAAGCCTGGACGCAGTATTCCAAGTGCGGCCTTACAAAAGCCGAAAATAGTCTAACAAACATGTCGGTGGTCATGATCCCGAATGACCTGCGGATCATCCACAACATGTTGAAGCCTTTACGAGCAGCTGTCTTCCAGTGTTCACTGGACTTGAAGTCAGATGACAGCAAAACACCGAGGTCAGATTGGAGTTGAACTCGCGGTACCTCGTTGCCGCCAAGCAAATAACGCGTCGGCGGGTCATTCGGACCAACGCGTAGAACGGAACATTTACCTGAATTAACTGGCAACTGTCACAAACTTGGCCAGTTCCAAAGTCTATCCAGAGCCTCCTGTAGGGTCAGTAGACCAATCGGCTCGTCTATCGTGAACCAGAGTTTTAAGTCATCCGCAAACATTAGGGATGGCACACCCAATTCATCAGGTAGGTCATTAACGTATAAAGTGAAGAGAAGGGGGCCAAGAACCGAACCTTGCGGCACGCCACTGAGAACACATTGGCGGAAGGACAAGCTTGAACCCACCCGCACACACATTTCCCTTCCGATTAGGAAAGCTGAAATCCATCGTAAGACTGGTCCAGAAATACCAAAGGAATTCAGCTTGTACAAAAGGCGCGAATGTGGAACGGTGTCAAAAGCTTTGGAAAAGTCAATAAACAGCACGTCCACTGCCTTCCCGCAATCAACGGCTTCGGCCCAGTGTTCACGAGCGTTAACAAGTTAGTAAGGCAAGAATAGCCCTTACGAAAACCGTGCTGAGAAGGATTAAGCAACTCAAACGCTTTCAAATGTCCTTCGAGAGCGTCCCTCACGAGCTTTTCCAATAACTTGACCAGCACGCTCGTTAAACTGACCGGTCTATAGTTATCAGGGAGGTGCTTATCACCTTTCTTAAAAATGGGGCAAACAATAGCCTCCTTCCAGTCCTTGGGTAGAGAGCAGCCTCGTAGAGACTTCACAAAAAGATGCGTAATCGGAGAGCAAAGTTCATCAGCCAACTCGTACAACAGTTTGGGATGAATAGCATCTCCACCGGCAGCTTTATTGGGATTTAATTGCCTCAAAAGCCGGAGCACTTGAGTCTCGGTTATAGAAACCTCCTCCAAGTGGGAGCCCTCAGGAACTTTGCCTGGAGACTGATATGCGGCGGCTGTGACTCTCTAACATAAACCCCAGCATACTGTTCTCCGAGCAAACAAGCTTTTCGTGATCCGTGACAACAGCAGTGACGTCCGGGCCAAACAACACTGGGTTGGACGAATTCACGTTGCTTCGCCTTTTGACATAAGCGAAGAAGCGTTTCGGGTTTGTTGAGGCTATACAAGCAAGCTCTACTTCATGCTGTAGACGAGCACC